GAGAGGAAGAGAAGAAGAGAGAGAGAGAGAGAGAGAGAGAGAGCAAAGGGAGGTTGAATTCCACGCGTGGATCGTCTTTCGTGGATCGGCACAGATGCCGCAAGACGACGATAAATCGATCGATGCCAGCTTCCCGATTCTCACTGATTCGCGCCTAGTTGGCGTTACTTTCGTTCCCTTACTCCGAACTCCATCGATAATAAAATATCCACTACTCGAGTCGAGATGAAAATTAATATTATCTTCGCGTATTGGTTTCGCATCGGAGGAAGAAAGTTCGCGCGGCTGAGTAAGTTCTCTGATTCGAGCGACGAGCGGGGAAACGGGAATATATATATATATATATATATATGAAACGGATGAAGGATCGAATTGTCTCGCGAAAGGAGAGCATCCGGAAGAAAATAACTCCGGCGTGAATAAATGACAGGAGGCGAAAGAAAAAAAAAAAGGAAAAAGAAAAGAAAAAAAGTTGGCCGGCAAAAGTCCCTTCACCCAGTCGGTTGCACGCTCGTTCGCGAGGAATTGTCCTTTTAATACTTTTTGTCCTTGCAACCCACCGCCATTCTCCTTCCCGTCAGAAGGGTGCATGTTCCTTTTTCTCCCCTTTCTCTCTTTCCATCCCTCCCTCCTCTCTCTCTCTCTCTCTCTCTTTCTCTCTGTCTTTCTTCCTTTATTTTTTCCCCTTTCGTTCCTGTTCGTTCGTTGTCAGCCTCTCGCAGCCCGAGCACTTTAGATAATAAGGCCAGGATGCTCGGGTAACTCGGACGAAAGGGTAAATTGGGTATTCCTCGTCCGAGGAATTATCTCTCTAATTTCTTTAACGTAGCAGTCTCTCACCTTGCTCTTATGTACGCGTATAATTTTTCATCGTCGCGGATCGGGGCTCGCCTCGAACCCCATCACCACGATGCATCTCTCCCTCTCTCTTCTCGGGGTGAAAGGGTTCATCTACCCGATGGAAAAGATCAGAAGAAGTCGAGAAGCCGCGTTAAATAATTTCTCGCCCCCTTCTTCGCTGACCCTTCCTCTTCCTCTTCCTCCTCCTCCTCCTCCGTCCGCCTCTCTCGTCCTTTTAATCGGATGCATTTCGCGCCGATGACTCGAGGAGTCTTTTTCTTTAAAGCAAACGGGACGCCAAAGGGAGAGTATCGATGGATACGCAATTTATGTTTCATTTCTGTTCGATCTCGAAAGTTTTCGAGAGGAGAGGAAAATTTGTTTCGATCGATCTATTCTACCATTATTATCACGGGAGGGAGAAACGTTTGCGGAACTTCCAAGATGTTTGTCCAAAGATTCTCAGGATGGATTAACGGAGGAGGAACGATGCTAATAATAAT